ACCATCATCTGATTCTGGTATAGACACCATAGTAGATACAGAACCTGGTATGAGGGCACCAGCATTGAATCCTGTACGCCTTCTAGGGAGGGCTGACCTTCCTTTGTCTTGTGAATTACTGACAGTCCATGTCTGAGCAGTGGAATTATTACCTTTCACGAGACAAAAAACAACACATGCAGTCACAGACTCCAGCCAGGGCACCCTAAACTTTGTATGTGAATTGTGATAAAAATTAAGGCACTTTATTTGATTGTCAATGTAAATTTTAGGATGAAAATACTAATTGGGGACACTATTTCTACGTTTCCTACTGGAGACAGGAGTGCCACTTTATGTGGCCTGATGATCCAAGCCATTTAAAGGTGTAGCCATTTGCAGGGCGAGGCAGTATTACTCAGTTATTTCAAGACCCTGAGTACTGGTCCTGCAGCCCGGAGAATCAAACCCGTGACCTCCCACTCTGCAGTCAAGCACTCTACCACTGAGCTAATCCTGCTGCAGTAATTGATGTTATTTTGTTACCCATAAAAAGCAACCACAACTGCTGTATATTTGTGACTCATGATTTCTACCTTCAAGACGTAACATGATCAACACAATAATGTTTGCTTAAACATTGCCTCCTAAGTAGATTATTGCATGACAAGCTGAAAGGAGGTCTGACTTCTTGAAGGAAGAGTAACTGCATATATGTATGTATACATGATACCCCTTTTATTTTATTTCAACCTTTCACTTTGGAGGTCCAGAATAACAAAACAACAATAACCTTATCTTTAAGATCAGATTTTATTGCTTGCATTAACGACCTAATAAATGCCCACTTCCAAATAAAACCCCTCTTATGATCTTATAAATCCTCCCTCTACAGTGTTAAAATTTCATTGGACGCCCCTCTCTAATAAATGCCCCCCGTCTAATAGACGCCCCCTATGAGAATTAGTCCAAAATACTAGAAGTTAGCAAAAAGGTTCAAAATCATTCAATTCATTCAGTTTCTTGCTTGATCAACAAGGCTTTGCTAATTTCATCTTGTTCGATGACAATTTTGAAGCATTGAGGATAGACAAACGATAGGAACACAACAATGAGCGAGGATTCTGACATCAATGTTGGAATTTCAAAGAGTGATATGGATCTCAAAATAATAATAATAATAATAATGTTTATTTCTTATATGGCGCAGTCTAGCATGCGATAAAGATATGATCGAATGCGCATTACAACACTAAAATCTTAAAGTAATAAATGGCTAATCTAAATAATGATAATAATAATAATAATTTACAATTTTCGGAAAACAATAAAAGTAAAATATGAGTCAATAAAAGAACTAATAAAAAGCTAATTTAAAAAGATGTGTCTTTAGTAAAACTTTAAAAATGTTCAATGATTGACATTGTCTAATTTC